CTGCTGCTGTCAATCAGCAGAGGGGGACCTGCAGTTCTCCATCAGGTGCCCCTCTGGTGATTGACATTGACATGGGTGCAATAGCTATTTTGCTATTGGCTATTGAAAAAGCCAATAGGAATCTAGCTGTGCATTCCTATGGTGTGTTCGCTTTTTTTTTTTTTGGACGGCAGCAGAACCACTCGGCCAATAGAAAACAGTTGGGCGGAGCTAGCTGTCACTGCTAGCTCCGCACAATCGTTTTCTAATCTTTTTTTTTTCTACTTTTCAAACAGTTTTTCTATTCTGCTTGGTCCCACAGAGGGACCGAGTAGAACAGCCGAGCCAAATGCTGCTCAGCGGCATTCGGCTATTTACTCACTGCTGTTAGGCATCTATGAGAATAGACCGAACAGCAGTAAGTAGCCTGCCAGAGGTTCGGCTTAGCTGATCCAGATGTTGGATTGGCTGAGTTGAACTCCTTCTGCACTTCGGGTCGGCCGAACATGCTGAGCATGTTCAGCCGACCCGAAGCCACGCGATGTATGGCTGATTTCAGCCGATATGCGGCTGGAATCAGCCGTACCAGTCTGATGTGAATAGCCGAACAGCTCACTTCACTTGGGGTCGGTTAGTCACTCGGCTGCCTACGGCAGCTTAGTGAATAGACCCCTATGTCTTTTGGGCACTAGTCTAGCAGTGTTGGTCTCTATGCTTGTCTGTGATACACAGAAAGTTCAATCTGTATATATGTTTCCTTTCTATAATGCTGTATTGAGATGTAATGTCCTTCGAAGCAAGTAAAACTTAGTTCAGCATTCCTCAAGATCTCAGTGCTTCATCTAAACACATGACCAGCAGCAGTGAGGGGGTTGTCCGGAGTTCTTCTTTAACAGTTCCATTCAGTTCCATTTAGTATTGTTGCAAGTTTGCTAATACAAACTCACTGTACAATAAGCCCACATGAGAAATGCAAGATTAAATATGTCTATTACAAATAAATTATGATGCTATGGTGTGCATATTTACATCTGTGCCAGGGTTTGTCTAAGGTAATATACAATATGCAATTCATCATGGTAATCATTTTTAGGTTTACAATGACAAGGACTCTTCTGTTAAACGATGAGTATCTTTTTCTACACCTTTTCACAATTGGGGAACATGTCAGTTTATTGTCATCTGTTTGGAGTCACCAATGGGTGGCAAAGCTGCAATTTTGCTGGATGTGTGAACATCTTATATTGAGGGAAAGAGCAAAGAGAAAGTTTCACAATGGAGGGCTAGAAAAAATTGGGGATGTCCCGATACCATTTTTTCAAGAACAAGTACAAGTACTTTCACTCAGGTATTTGCTGATACCAATTACCAATACTTTTTCTTAAAGGCACATGTGACATTTTTTCTAAAACAATACAGACTCATGATATTAGGGCAGTTTCTTTATAATTATGCAGAACTGTAACTTAATCCATGATTATTCAACAATGGAAAATGGCAACCAGCAATAGAGGACTACAGATCCCATCAATCCATGATTAAACAGCAATGGAGAATGGCATTCGGCTATAGAGGACTACAAATCTCTGCAATCCATGATTATTCAGCAATGGAGAATGGCAACCAGCAATCATGGATTGCTGAGATTTATAGTCCTTTGTAACCGGTTGCCATTCTCTATTGCTGTATAATCATTGATTATACTGCAATGGAAAATTGCAACCGGCTAAAGAGGACTACAAATAATTTACAGTAATACAGTAATTTCAAAGAGAAATAAAATCTTAATCCTTATCCCTAGACATGTGCACCGGCAAAAAATGTGTATAGTTTTGTTTTGATTTGGATTTTGCGTTATTTTGTTTTTTGGGATTCGGGTCTGAAAGTCAATTTGTTTCGGGATTCGGACGAAATTCGTTAGCGGTAGTCTGTACGAAATTACATTTCGTTGTCGTTTTGTTCGTTTCTTGCAGCAAAGTGACATTTGAGGGAAAATTATTATTTTTTTTCTCAAATGTCACTTTGCTGCAACGAAATTTCACCCAACAAAAGAAATTTCGTACAGACTACCGCTTACGAATTTCGGAATCGGAAATTCGGATTCGTTTGCATTTGTTATATCTGTAATTCGGTATTTGCAACACACTGCACTTCGTGTGCAGAAACTCATGCAGATCTGGTCTGCATTTGGTGTGAACAAGCCCTTAAAGTTGACTTGCAGATATTTTTCTTAAAAAAAGTTATAATTTGTATTATTATAATACAGGATTTATATAGCGCCAATAGTTTGCACAGCGCTTTACAATATAAGGAAGACATTACAATCACAATACAATTCAAGACAAGATGGTAAGGAGGGCCCTGCCCCTGAGGGCTTACAATCTAAAAGGGTGGGGGAAGTGATACATGAGGAGGTAGCTGTGAGGTGATGAATTGTTTGAGAACGTGATGGTTGAGGTGGGATAGGCTAGGATGGATAAACACATAAAGCTTAATTCTTGGAAACTAAATTTAAAAAAACCAAACCCATTTAAAGCATATCCAAAGCCAAAACTCTTTTCTTTTTTGTTTTTTCATTTAGTTTTTTTATGCTCTCTGTGTCTTCTAGGGATTATTTCTGCTCACTTTTTTAAGGAGATTTAATAGAAAGTGAGATAAAATCTTTCCAAAGTGAAAAAGATGTCTCCTCTTAAGCTGGCCATCATTTTCTTTAGTTGAAGGAGCCGGGTGGAAAATTGTTTGCCGAACAATGACTGTACCAAATCAGCTACAGTCACTGTTGGAGTATTTTGTCAGTTTGCGCCTGCCCATAGCCAGAAGAGGAGATTCCTCCGCTCACGTTCTTTAGCGTGGATGGTGGAATGAAGTGATTTTTCTTGTTCAATTCAGTATATGACCAGCTTTAATCAGTTGTCAGTTGTTACCTAAACAGTTGCCCCTAAACAGGTGTCCCCATTGGAAAACTTTCAATCGTCAATTTTCAACTGTCAACTGACAGCTGTAAAAGTTTTTCCTATTATATAAACTTTAAAGCAGTCAGTTCTGTATGCCTTTAAAAATATTTTATTTTTATATACACTCACAATGGAAGTTAAAGGGGCAGCACTAGACTATAAACAGAATCTGCTGATGAGAAGATAAAGCAAAGTTAGCGGAGTTAACCTTCATGACCAAGCAGCAAACTGCAGGTGGGGAGGTGACAGCACAGTGTATCCCTAACGCTAACTGAGAAAATGGTGTCATCCTGATCGCTGTGTTGACTGACAAAGATATATGCATCGCAAAAGTGGTTAGTAAGAATTACAACTATATAAAAATTTTAAAAATGTAAATATTTATAAAATTTGGATAGAGTAGGCGAAGCCCTAGCAAGAAGATTCTTCTCATGCACTTGTCATTCCTGTTCTTGTGACCATTATAAGGTTTTAAGGTTTAGATCTCCCCTCACTTTCAGTCCCAGTGACAATGGTTACCAGGACAGACAAAAAAGGGTGAACCATAGACAGTCATAAATACCTTCCCCACTCTATCCAAAATTGAATACAAACATTTTGGCTTTGCATACACTTTAAAACAAAATAACTTGTAATACCCCTAGCTCTATCATAAAAAGTTTACTTTTAACAAGCTATAAGTTTAATTGTCAAAATAACAGTACCTGCGTCAGATTGCCTGTAGTTTGTATAGTTCAGCCAACAATTGTCCACCCAGCTCCTTCAATTTTTTCAGTTGAAGGATATCGGGTGGGAGGCGGCACACAGGGCAACCCAATGAGCGAATTTCATCCAGTTCTTGATGTGTAGCCAGCTTAAAAGAGAACGTATACCAAATCTCTTTTGGGGTCATAAAAGTACATTTACTAATGTCCTCCTGTGACCCCAAGTTCAGATTTAGCAGACTACTGCCCTCTAGCTGCTGACAATATTGTTGGGATCCACCTTGCTGCCTGATTGACAGCTGGCTCTGCCTATCTAGAGCCAGCTGTGCCCACCCCCTTCCCTGTCTGTCCCTCCAATGAGCGCTGGAGGAACAGAGAGAAGGGGGGCTAAACAACGTAGATGGACAAATCTCCCGCTGTGTGCTGTCAGAAGACCCGAGTGTCCGAGCATTTTGCGACATGTTTCTTTGTCAAAAGTCAATCTAACGATTGACTTGTGTTGAAGGGAATGGGTCACCAACAGAGTGAATTTTGGCTGATCCCTGCTCAATTGGCTGAAATTAGCTCCGAGCGTACCCAGGTGAAAGTGAGACTAAACTCAGGAGTTTAATCTTAAAAATGCATTGAAGTACCCTAACTATTAACAATAATGTATCTTATTTGTGAATCATGCAGCAGTAGACCCTCAAATCATCTCTGAATCTGTGCTGACACTGTCCTTCCTTCTGGAGGGTGGATACTTTTGTTCCCCATGGTCCCTGTGTGTGTTGTAAAGTAGTCTTCGCTCCAAGCTAACTCCGGTGATGGACTACAATCTCAATACAAATTAGTAAACTAAACATGAGATTGTAGTGCAGCACAGTAGCAAGTGATACACAAATGAGGTACATTTGTGTTAATAGTTAGGGTACTTGAATGAATTTTTGTAAGATTTAACTTCTGAGTTTAGTGTCACTTTAAGTATTGGGAAGTGCATTTTATTCTCCCAATACCTCTCTAATTCTTGTGAAGGTCTGCTGTAAGTGCTAGTTTCCCTAGGATACTGTAAAACATTCTCAGAATGCCCAGCAGCTTAGCTCGGTATGGCTGGAAATTGAATCGTGAAAACAGTTGAATAGTTAACAGTCTTTAACAGCAGGATATATGAAGGTTAAAGTGCAGAAATGCTCCCTTGTTTATCAGCATGCAAAGTTCAATTCCACTTTGGCTGGAGTGGAAATCTGCAGCTGCTCCAGTTAAAAAGTTTTCTCTCCTTTGTTATTGGATGAATGTAAAGCCCAGGCCTCCCACATCCAGACACAGAGAATTTCTTAACACGCCATGCCGTAACATATTCCTACATCGACTGATGGCAAGTTCCGCTTTTTAAGTCAGCTGGAAGATTCAGGTAGGCTTTCTGTATTGTTCAGTGTTTTCTATGTATGAATGTATCAGTGTTCAGTATTTGTATCTGTCTCTGTGTATCACCGTTAGATCCTACACAGATTACACAAAGAGATAATAAACACAGGCCCCTCCATTTGTCACATTGCCTTGCTAGGCTTTAGCAAACTAAGAGTATGAAACTACTTAAAGACATAAAAGAAAAGAATTTGAATAACTTTTAATAGACACTTTAACTAATGTCTTTACATGTAGTTAAAACACAATCTGCACAGTTTAAATGTTAAGAAAAAGAACACACTTATTCTAAAGTAATTTAGTACTTGACAATGTCCTAATAAAAATTGTATTATTTTATTCATTATGTATTCATGCATGCCTCAGTCCCAGTATGCTGCATGATTATTCAGATAATCTAAATGTGTAAACAAGAGGGATGCAACATTGGCACTCCAGCTGTGGTAAAACTACAATTTAGATCATGCATCTGGGAGTCATCACACCTCCCAACTTTTGGAAAAGGGAAAGAGAGCCACATTATAGCACAAAGGACGCATCTCTAACACCCCAGAATTACACAGACCATGAAGAATTACTCACAAAAGAATAAGCTAAAGTGACAAGAACTTGTTTGTCTCCTCTACATTTCCCTTATATTGGGGTTTCAAAATAAATGTAACAATTTAGGTTAAATGTATTAAATTAGTGTTGTAAAACATTTTTAAATGTTAAATAGTACATTTTATAGATATGTATACATCAGACCAAAAGGAGGGACAACTGAAGGAAAAAGAGGGACAGATAAATTTAGTTCCAAAAGAGGAACAGAGGAATTTTGTTTCAAAAGAGATGCAGAGGGATTTAGTTCCAAAAGAGGGAACACAGGGATTCAGCTCTAAAGAGGAACAGATGGATATAGCTCCAAAAGAGGGACAGAGGGATATAGCTCCAAAAGAGGGACAGAGGGATTTAGTTCCAAAAGCGGAATAGAGGGATATAGCTCCAAAAGAAAGACAGACGGATTAAGTTCCAAAAGAGGGACAGAGAAATACAGTTTCAAAAGAGGGACACAGGAATGTAGTTCCAAAAGAGGGACAGAGGGGTTTATTTTCAAAAAATGGACAGAGAAATACAGTTGCCAAAGAGGGACCGATGAATATAGTTACAAAAAAGGGACAAAGGAATACAGTTTTAAAAGAGGGACATAATGATTTAATTCCCAAAGAGACAGTTTCTCCAAATGAAGGACACAGGGAGGGATGGAGTCATGCCTGTGGCTGTCTGTCTTGCAATGCCTCATGGCACTTGTAGTTCCACAACAGTTGACATGCTGAGGTTACTTACCCCTTACTTACTAAACTGTCATGCTATCATATAAATGTAGCAAGGAAAAATAGAATTATTGAAAGCTAATATTCATTTTGTGCTTGCTCTCTCTATTTTCATTCTACTATACATAATTATCTGTCATTTGTTTTGAGCTATAGATTAAATTCACAGCATTGAGCTTTCTGTTCTTTTCTTTTATTTCAAAATGATAACATATGAGACTAAAAGCTAATGTACAGTGTACAGGACAAAGGCATAATTCCATAAATTGCTCCTAAAAGTATGACATCCACAGTTTTGCAGATATAATCATCTCCACACTTGGGCACCAGGAACATCTAGTATATAGATTGTAAGTTGATATTTGTTATGGTTTCCAGGGACAGGGGCGCACAGCTGCTCCCGTATGAGGTTAAAATAAACCAGATGCTATTTTAAGGCTCTGCCTCTTAAAGCGGGATATACATAATCATGTTCTTTTTTCAAAACTTATATTTGCATGTAAAAAAAATACACAAATAAAAACAAATCTGCTAAATCCTTTATGTTTGAAGTAAAGGCAAGACTGGGAACTTCTTAAGATTCTTTTGTGAGTCATCTGGCAACATTTCTCTTATGCAAGCAGTTTGAGAGTAGCCAAAACTTAGGCTTCCTGTATGTGCGTTCAGAAAAATATTCGCTAGCTGCAGTACAGATGCCATTACTGATCTGTAAAACATTGTAATTATTTTATGTTTACTTATAAATAAGAAAGAATAGCAGTCTGACAAATGAGAATTGCAAATTTTACTTAGAAGGAGCAAAGGTTGCTTAAAACAGTCCAGTGTTCAGGATCACATTTGTTTTGGTTTTGTAAAGAGGTTATCTTTAACCACTTGCTGACCAGGGCATTAAACCCCCTTCCTGGTCAGGCCATTTTTCAGTATTCAGCGCTGCAGTACTGTGACTGACATTTATTCAGTCATGGAACGCTGTAATGAAATACATTTTATACCATTTTTTAGGGACAGATAGAGCTTTCTTTTGGTGGTGTTTAATTACCACTGCGGGTTTTTATTTTTTACTATATAATAAAAAAAGAACCGAAAAATTTGAAAAAAAAAACTGCTTTCCCTACTTTATGTTATAAAACATTTATCAGCACCCACATTTTTGGTAAAATATAAAAGACGGGGTCATGTCGGGTAAATAGACAACAAACATGTCAAGCTTTAAAATTGCGTGCGCTCGCGAAATCGCAAAAAACTACCATGCCACAGGCATGGCCATAGGCGATGCTTTAAAAGCTTTTAACGCTCATTAGTTTAGTGTTATCAGTGATTGATGGCCCTAGAATTATTGCTCGCACTCCGATTTGTGCGGCGTAATGGTTGTTTTCGCACAAAGGTGCACCCGACGCATATTTACGTTTATAAGTGCGTGCACGTGGTGGCGGGGAACTTAAAACTTTTTTGGGGTGTTTTTTTTTATGTGGGACTTTAATATTTTTTTCTCACTTAACTTGATTGCTATCACATAGGGGGATAACAAGCCCACTATGTGATAGCCAATATACACTGACAGGCCCTCTTTATGGAGACATCAGGGGTCTCTAAGACCCCTAATGTCACCTAGGGACCCCCAAAGAAGCTGATGAAGCAGAGATCTGTATTGTATTACTACTCTAGTACCAATTTGGTATATACACAAAAAATAGTGGAAAACCATTATGCTTAGTATGCATGGTTATGGACAGCATTCCTCAGTTTCCTACCAAGCTCTCACTGCACAGTTTATAATTACGGTGGCTTGAAGTATTCTATGGACTTCAGGTGATCAAAACTGCTTGTGCTCACTTCAACTGCCCTATTAAGTTCTGGTTAGCAAGTGGTTATAAGGCAGAGACCATTGTTTCCTTTTTCTTATTATTACAAATTTATGAGTGGCTTGCCAGCATTAGGGCAAACCACTAACCAAACACTAGGAAAAATACGCTGCCCTCCTTATTTTCGATGTGTAACAAAGCATATTTGTTTTTTTTTGCTTTCCTGGAGGCTGGAAGATGAACTCTGAGTCAGAAAAGCCACTTATTGCTACTAAGCCAGCACTGAGTGAATCTCAAGCTATTACCCTGGTGGAGAATGTATATGGCCTGCAAGTGTGTAAAGTGAAGCCCCTACCAAGTTATGATGACCAAAATTTCTATATCCAGACCACGAGTGATGTAACAAGTGCTGGAAATGAATTTATCTTGAAGATTTTAAATGGTGAAGACAGTAAAGGCACAGAACTCATTGAAGCACAAACATATGTCATGAAGTTCTTGCATGAGGAAGGTCTTCCTACCCAAGATCCTATATTCACAAAAAGTGGTCATATCATGTCCGTAGAAGCTATAGGTAAGTCTAGTACAAATTAAACTTCAAACATCAACAAAGAATGTGAATACTATATCAATTCTAGGAATCATGCAACTGCAGACTGTTATTTCATTTGTGAAATATGCCATTATAGAGTTGCAGACCACTAGTTTATTTCAGAGCAAATAGATGCCTAAACTGCACTGCCATTTACCTTAAGGTATTGACAGCTATTAGGTCTGCCTGTATAAATCATTATATATCCAAAAAGTTTTGGCTCCCAAACGGGTGCTTGTAATGACTGCGGATGCCGCCACTCAAAATCCAGTAACAAATGCAGATGTCATCAGCACTTCGACACGAAGATTCACGTCAGTGCAAATCTGCTTTATTGATAGATGTCATAAAGACAAGCGCTTACGGGGCCACGCAGGGTCCCCTTCATGAGGCTCGTTAATGACAATACACAATATCGTATTCTATCGAATACATATAAATAAATAAATGAATGAAAGGGACCCTGGTAGGCCTCGAAAGCGATTGTCTTCATGAAATCTATCAATAAAGTGGATTTGCACTGACGTGAATCTTCGTGCTGGAGGGCAAATAAGTTACATCCCAATGGTTGTAGTTTACAATATTTATTACATGGAGATTATTCAGGTACAATCACCAGGCGGCCGCTATGGGGCCCGGGTACAGGGGGGCCCGGTCGGGGCATCCCTCTGATGCCGTGTGGGCCGCCTGGGTCGCTATGGCATGTAAGGGTGCTGGCTGTCACTGACACAGCTCAGCAGCGGCTGTGAAGATCACTGACAACCTGTCAGTGATGTGTGCAGCGGCCGCGGCGCGTTTCCCCTCACAGCCGCTGCGGAGCTGTATCAGTGACAGCCAGCAGCTGCAGCAGAAGGCCAGCATTCACAGTGAAGGAGGAGGTGGGCCCGCCTAAGAGCAACCCCGCCTCTTCTTACATCACTGGCCAGCGACCTAAGAGCAGGCGGGCCCGTCGATAGAAGAGGAGGCGGGGCCCGGGATGGAAGAGGAGGCGGGGCCGGGCGACCACGGAGGCAGACAGGTAAGAGGTGTGCAGCCCATCTGAGACCCTGCAGAGCCCCCTATAGAGAGTCTATTGTGGGCTCTGCAGGGTCACTCTCAAGTGGGCTGTTTGGTATATCAGGTGGGCTCTGCAAGTGGCATAACTAGCAATCACGGGGCCCCATACAAAATTTTGCTATGGGGCTCTATGATTTCTAGTTACGCCCCTGGGTACAATACAAGGAGAGGAGTGAGATAATCCATAGCAAATAGCCATAATTGTACAAGATAGATTTTGAAAAGCTATGCCGGTGCCCTTCATTTTGCTGCTAAACCACAAGATCCTTACTCACATGAGCCACCCCACAGCAGGTGCATGAAACAACTAAGTTCTGAAAGAATCATGCTTGCACGACAAACATTAAGAAATGAGAAATCAGCAGTTAAAAACCATGCATCAGCACTTACCGTATATGTTCCGAGATAGTGGAACATAAAACCATACAACGCAATCTCACACACACACACCCCTGAGACAAAGTTCAATACATACTTTTGCTTAGGAGAAAATGAATGAACTTTTTTTCTTAATTCTGGAAGCTGAGTGGACATTTCTGTACATTTTATGTTAATTATTAAATGATTCTACTAGGAATACACTGAGTGGCCAGATTATTATGACCACCCCATCAGTACTTCGTTGGGCCACGAGATAACTCCACGAAATGACTTTGTTGGGCCGCCTCGTGACTCCACGAGATGTTGAAAGGTGATGCGAGGAATCTGACACTGCACTGTTGCCCTTCTGTTGTCTTGTACCAGTCTTGCCACTCTCCGTTCTGCCCTAACATTGACTAGTCGCTGACGGCCACAATTCGCACGTTCAGACCCAGATTTTCGGCTGACAGTCCAGTCTTTAAACACTTTAACAACAGCTGCTCTTGAACATTTAACGAATTCTGCTGTTTTGCTGATACTCGCTCCATGGCTCGCGCCAACAATCATCCCACATTCAAAGGCTGTTAAATCGCGTTGTTTACCCATATCTTCAGAAAATAATCACTTCTACTGTCGTGGTAAACAACCTGCTTCCCTATTTATAATGGTCTGGCCCTCTAGCAACTTCAGCGCGAAATTATAGCTAATTTGCCTACAAGCATCAGGTGGTCATAATAAACTGGCCACTCAGTGTATATGTAGCACAAAAAGGTCAATCTAATAAAGCTAAGCAGGGGGGAACTGAAAGCCTCATTAGAACTGTTTAAAATAAAAAATTTGTTTTTTTTTTCCATTAGAAATAGGTCAACACTCTGCTTCAATAGTATAAACCTTCCTAGTAGATATAAAGTAGATATACAGACTACACCCTTCTCAGTTATAAATTCACTATTAGAAAATAATAACGATATTCAGAAAACTCTATGCATACCCTATAGCAGAAATTGTGTGTTCATGATTATTTATTTAGCTATTTCAGGTATTTATATAGCACTTTGCACATATATAGCAATTTATACAGTGCTTTGTGTATTGTATGTTAAGGAGCTTACAATCTAAGGTCCCTATCTCACATGCATACACACACATACTAGGGCCAATTTAGACAGGAGGCAAGTCATCTTCCAGCATGTCTTTGGAGTGTGAGGAAAACAAGAGTACTCAGAGGAAACCCACACATGCACAGGGAGAACATTCAGGGTTATTTACAAAAGCGTGAAGAGTTTGGAGAAGGCAGGAGAAGTGAACAATCTAGGACAACATAGCTGAACTGGAAAGTGAGCTGGATTGGAGAATTTTTCCAAATCAGCTATGTGGTCCTAGATTGTTCACTTGTGCTGCCGTCTCCAAACTCTTCATCCTTCTGTGAATACCGTGTTTCCCCGAAAGTAAGACCTACCCCGAAAATAAGACCTAGCACTATCTTTGGGGATTTCTGTAATATAAGACCTACCCCGAAAATAAGACCTAGTTCGGTGGTAGGGCTTATATTACAATACTTTATTTTTTTATTTAGAGGAATAATTATTTGTTTTGAAAAAAATATTCCTACAGTGTGCTTCCATGATATTGAGGCTACCAAAAGAATTGAGAAAGTTCACAAAAAAAAGTAATGATTCACTGCAATTATTTAATCACATGAAAAGAAAATTCCAGTTTATTTTTTTTTATGCGGTCAGTCCTTTAGTAAATCAGCCTTAAAGCAGATCCCCAGGATTTTAAAAAGTGAACCCTTGCATTGGGGCTACCCCTGCACTGCAATAGTTAACTGCTTGTTTTGGTGTAAGGAATGGAATAAAGATACACTCACCCGATCCTCGTTCCTGCAGCAGTGAAGGTTCACCTCTCTACCCCTCCACTCCGACTGTAGAATGTCCCTCGGCATCCTCAAGTATAATGCAAGTGAATAGACCTTGCATAGACCTGCTGACATCAGTGGGGTGTTGGAAATGCAACAACATATGCTAACACACTAATTGTTTTGCTGACTGTAACTATGTCTTTTGAACAGTAGATGGCGCTGTAGTGCAATGTTAGTCTATGCTAGTTTTTCTATATGCATGCTTACATCCAGGGCCGTAGATAATTTTTCTCCCTGGGGGGGGGTTCAGCTTCCTCAAATTATAAGACTTTACCTAGCAGACACACCAATACATCTATGATCTATATGTTTCCTCTCTACAACGCTGTATACATACATGTAACGTTCTTATAAGCAAGTAAACTTAATTCTGCATTCCTTAAGATGTCTCTGCTTCAGCTAAACACATAACCAACATGGGGCTTAGACCACCGGAGCCCGGGGGGAAAAGAGGCTTCAGGGATCAGTCTAGCAACCAGGCAGGACCAAGGATCGGTTGAGTATTTCTTCTATATTTTTGCCCTTAGTCCAAAACGAGCAGTTAACCCTTGCAATGTGGGGGTAGGTCCATTGCCAGGGTTAATTTTTGAAAATCCTGGAGTTCCTCTTTATTGTGTTTGAGAAGCATACTGGGCTTTCTCAATTTTTTATTGCCTTTGTCTAAATGAAAAACCGTATGAAGTAGCAGAGGCAGGGGCTGTCTCTGCTCTGGTAATTTAGCTAAGTGTATTAATCAGTTATTAAGAGGTTACATTATTTGTTAGCCCCCAACAAAAGCCTGGTAGGTTCCTGGAAAATGATATGCAGTGAGACATGTTCATACTAAATTCTCTGTGAAAATATTGTTCTGTTCTGTGTGATGGAAAAACTTCATTTTTTACATTGAACCATACTGTAGGTAACCTGCATTACTTTTTATCAGCCAAGTGCTTTTAAATAAATTTAAGGTTGTGGTAAGAATAGGAGTTAGGCTTAGGTTAACAGCTAGGTTGAGGTTTGGTCATAGTGGTCAGGTTGAGGCTACACGTTATATTTAGTGGATAGTCTGAGGTTTGGGGGCAGATTTAAGAGTTGGCAGACAGTTGACTTAATCCATAGTTGCCTTGGAGATCATTGAGAAGTTTATTCCAAACTGTGCAGATCTTTACAACAGGGAACATAGCATAGGTGAAGAGATCCTACTGTGAGCCACTAGCAAGGACATGTGGCTGAGATGAAAACTGGAACATAATGAAGAAGGGTGGAGCTATCTACAAAGAGGAAAACTGAACTATGGGGTAGGGTGGAGACAAACACCAGAGACAGATGAGGCAAATAATATTTAAAGGCATATCACTTGACAATTACACACAAACCTGTAGGCACCGTGGAAGCTTCCTTTTTTCAGTTTTCATGCATAGAACCCAAGAAAAATGTACCATAAAACAGACATTCTCAAACACATTAAATATATACGTTGAAGCTGTTTTACCGGCCTGTCTGGCAGGAAGTTCAGTTCAGTAACACAGAGCTTGTTGTTCTTCCAGCCTGTGACTAGACAGTGAAAGGAAAATGTAAGGCTAATGAGCTCATATATCTGTCACTCTGCTCTTTCCTCCTATCAGCATGGCCCCTTGCAGGGCAGCACAAGTGATTGGCTCCTTGTGCTGCTTCTCCCTCCCCCAGTCTGAGATTTACTTGGACTGCAAGATGCTGATTCCTAGTCATATTCAGGTACTTACACTGCTTGCATAAAAAAATTCATATTAATATAATTAAATACATGTCAATAAATACACAGTTCCATTATTGTACCTTTTTTTGCTGCCTGGAGTTAAAGGAGAACTATGGGGTCAGGGATTTTCCCCATAGTTCTCCTTAGGGTAACGGGAGGACACAAACTAGCGTCCTCCCGTCACCCAAGGCTCAGTATACCGCGAGCTACAGCTCGCGGTATACTGAGACGCTGCAGCCGGAGCGGATCCTGACATTGATGTCGAGATCCGCCCAGCTGCGTGAGTGACAGCTGGCTCTGCCTATCTAGAGGCAGAGCCAGCTGTACCCGCCCCGTCCGTTCCGCCAGTCAGCGCTGGAGGATCGGAGCAGGGAGAGGGGAATCCAGCCCCTCACCTGTCACGGCAGAGAGCCGTGACAGGATCGAGAGGTGAGCGAACGCCGGTATGTGTGCGCTCACTTCCCGATCTACTGAGCCGACCTGTGACAGTGTCATTGTCACAGGTCGGTTAGAACTATGAGGTGAGTGAAAAGCACTCACCTCATAGTTCTCCTTTAAAGATGAAACATTGCTGTACCTTTTTGAGAAGACATTTCAGGACTGGTGTATGAGAAGGGAACCGGTTCTGTACAGCAATGTTTCATCTTTAACTCCAGGCAGCTAAAAAAGGCACAATAATGGAGCTGTGTATTTATTAACATGTATTTAATTATATTAATATGTATTTTTTTATGCAAGCAGTGTAAGTACCTGACAGATTTGTTTTCTGCCCATAGCAAGCAATATAAATGCTTGCTTCATTTTCGAACTTGACAGCAGAAATGACAGCTGGAAGCTGATTGGTGGCTATGGGTAGCAATAAATTTATCCTTTAGCACACTTGTCATACATCAGAACCCTTGAGTCATTATTGATACATTTTCATGGGAGTATTCTAGCCATGGTTTGCATTTGTACATGCTCTCCATTCCACATTATGATGATTTTATTACATAAAGTTTCATCAGTAAAAAGGATTTTTAGTAATATTTAAAAAGGAAACACAAAAGTTCATTTTCTAGTTTTCTTAAAATGTTTGTCTGTAAGCTTGGAAAACATAACTAACATACTTAATTCTCCCACCTTAGACTATGGAGACGTAGTACAGCATCATGCGGTGAGGCTTCTGACCTACCTTCCTGGAACACCAGCAGCTGAAATTACAGCAACGCCGCAGATTTTATTCGACATCGGCAAAATGGCAGCCATTCTTGATGCGAAATTAACAAAGGTGTATCATGAGTCTCTGTGTTTTGTCTATTTTTGTTCAGTTACAAAGGGTCTTGATTATGAAAAGGAAGATTTGTGTGTTACCTACAGCACCAAGATTCTTCCCGATTGATAAACCTGCACAGAAAGGGCTCATGCACATCAGCGTTTTTTTGTCTTACAACATAAAATTGCGGGTGTATTTCCCCGCCCAGGATACACAGCTGCCTGGGTTCATGCCACTAAATGCATAAAGCCGTATGCCCCTGGACATACAACAATTCATTACTATGGATGGCTGCACACAGCAGCTGTGTATCCCGGGCTCCAAAATATAAAAGTGATGAATGTATTCATTCAATGTATGCCAAAAGATGTCCGTGTGCATGAGCCCTATAAGTGCTGGAACTAGACAAGCAGGTATATGTTACTCCTTCCCATTCACTGATCCATTGTCATTTTGTCCATAGATACTCTGTAGCTTAGTTTGAAAAATCTGTATTGTGCAGAACCTCAACCCTAAATCAAAAAGCAGTTTTAGAAGGTGTATGGTGATCATTTACATGAGCATTTATCACAGCAGCTGCTTGATATGGGGTTGGCAATGTTCGTATTCTGATCGCAAACTAAGTTTTCACCTCATGTGCTGCATGTTACTAGGACACCAAGCCAAGCTCTTGCGGTAATAAACTGTGATGAAAGCAGCTGCTCCCAGACTTGTATGCCCCATATTAGTTCTGGGCAGTGAAGCTGAACCTATTCACCTAGTATCTTCCCAAGAAAAATAATGGCACATGAGCTGGAGAATGGCTGCTTCCATCAGACTCTTTACAATAAGCTGCTTTGCCATGTTTCTCCTGGGTCCATTAGTTACTTTACAGGGAAGCAAGGATTAGAATAACAGACCCATAGGAGGAAGTAGAATGGTGGGATTACAAGTGGGAAAGACCTTGGTGGTCACTGATGAACACATTAAAGCAACCTTGCCAGTCACCGAAAAAAATCTACAGTTCCAGCGGCCTGTGCCTCCTACCTTCACTCATTTAAGCAATGCAGGCATCAGGCGGCACTTCCAGGAGTGCATGAGTGTATCTGTTTACCCACCATATGCCATGGTTCTATCCTCCAACCTCTATATTAGGACAGGACACAACAATGACATAGGGGTTGGAGGAATTAACCACAGCGAGCGGCAGGGGACCCTTGCTACAGAGTGCTGAAAAGTCTTTAGGAGGCTGCAGCACTGTAAAAGAGCAAAGGAAGGAGATACAGGGTTCAAGAATGGGTATAATACCTCTTCTATTGCAGGGAACTGCCGTTTAGATGTTTTAGGTGACTACAAGTGTCATTTTAATAATTCAAATGCAGAATTGTAGGCTCTGAGCAGTGTAATTACTGTCCAGCTATAAAAGTGATATATACACTATAATATTTCTAAAAGTGTATAATAAATATGATATTCCTACAACCAATACTCCATGAACAAATACTGAAAAAACAACCCTAACCCTAAACTAGTATTTGTTCAAAGAGTTTCGGTTGGAGGAATATCATATTTATTATTCACTTTTAGAATTATTACTGTGTATATATCACTTTTATAGCCTGGCTTTTTTTTCACATTTTAAGTACTTAGCTGATTACACAGATTAAAGCTGCTTGCTGTTACTTTTTAGGGGAGTGGAACAAGGTCTTTTAAAACAGTGTGGTTATTGTGTTTATTCTATGCAGCCAAGAGGAGTATATATGATATGGTACAAAACATCTGACATTGATGCAGTTCCCATAGGGGATTGAAGCTGTTGGCGGTGGTTACCCTTTTTTACCAGTTTGAACATTTTACATTTTTTATTTTTTTTTGGTATTCCAACTAGTAATTCAATTATAAGTTAACACATGCTTTTCCTTTAGAACTGAAAGCAATTTGTACTCATTTCAGAAATTTCAGCATCCATATGAAGAATATTTCAACCGCAGAGAGTTTCTTTGGAATCTGTCAAACACCCCTTTTCTGAGGAAGTATTTATATGCGGTTACAGATGAAAATTTACGTGAAAGAATTGAAGAAGTCATCGGCCAATTTGAGTCTTCTGTGCAACCGAATCTGAAACTGTTTCGCAAGTGTAAGTGATTTGATCTGGTACAGTATATACACTGATGAGAGTACATGGGGAAGCTCTAATAATTTGATGCTAGTGACTATGATGTTATCCAGATGACAAGATCCTGAAGACTCTGTGTAATATTTAATATATGTCAAAATATAGCGTTACTGCCTCTGAAAAGCAGTACAGACAGGCGCCCGACTTAAGAACAACCCGTACTTACGAACCGAGTCCGATTGCCCCCCCCCCGAGATTAGTGCCGCTCCCAAGTCCCGCGTCTTACCTCTGCCACCCGCAGGTCCCACGGTGTAGTGACACAACTACATACAGCTGTCACTCAGTGCGACAGACTGTGCTGCGGTTCATTGTAAAAAAAAATTTGTACAAGTTTTTACAGTAAAGTCGTTGACACTGAGTCACACTTGTATGTGCCGGCGGCTGTGCGGGATCCGATGTACACCGGAGGCTGCCTGTCATTTAGGAGAACTGTTTAGCCTGGCGGAGCCGATACGAGACTCTGCAGGCACCGCCAGACAGCCACATCCTGCTGTTTGGGTCATCGTGAGGACACTCTCCCGTGATCCCTCCCCTCCACTGGCCACCATGGACGCAGGAGAAGAGGTGCTGCAGCCTGCATGTGTTAGGTGAGGTTGGCGAGTGTATGGAGGATGGATGGCTTGGGGGGAAAGGGGGGATTGGTGGACTGTAGCTGGGCTGGTGGTATTCAGCATTGCTGTATAATGACTATACAGCAATGCTCAATACCACCAGCTATACAGGACTACAAATCCCAGCAACATTATACAAAGCTGATGGTATTCTGCATTGTTGTATAAAGTATTGTTATAATTTGTAGTCCTGTATAGCTGGTGGCAGGGGCGGAAAATGTACCTGTTCCGACTTACATACAAATTCAACTTCAGAACAAACATACAGTCCCTATCTTGTATGTAACCCGGGGACTGCCTGTACGTGGTCAATGCCTGATGGATTTTAATCAGCACTTTTCAAAGGTTACATCTCTTCTCACCTAATTCTACATCAGGCTTTTACTATTATAGGGTAGACTAACCGTAAAGCAGAACTCCTGGCAAACAGTTTATTACACAGATAAAATACGTATATGGGAGCTGGTTTACCTGCCAAATAATTTGCATTTTAGTCCTTCGAATCCTGACATCAATACAGATTTGCCACACAGCCCACGTCTGTCTGGCAGGGCAGGAGACTTGATTCCTGACTATTCCCTTCTGCAGTTAAAGTGACAATAAAGTCAAAAGGTTTTTAAGCTATTTGAAATGCTGATGAAATCACCTACAATAGATACCACTTCTTGATGTTTAAAAGTGTTAGTTTCCCGCAGAATCAGCTGGTCCCTGAGCACTGGCCCTGATATCCTGCTTTAGGATGTCTCATTTCCCTTGCAGAGTCCAATGGAGCCACCTTTGTGTGTACTAGTAAGCCGTGTGGGTCTCCACAAACATACAAGCAGACCAAAGCAATCCATCCCTTGCTCACTGCTCCCCTCTCCTCTATCCTGCTCCCTCCTCCAAGCTAGTAGATGGATGGTTGCTGGAGACTGTGCTGTCCCTTGTCATATTGTACTAGACAGGAAGTTCAGGGAAGCTGAGATGAGAGAGTTGGAGCAAGCTGTTTAGAAACATGATAACTGTAAGTACTAGGGCAAAAATGAAAATAAATACTTTGCTGGGCAATGTATATTGGTTTACTGGATTAATTACTGAAAAAATGTTTGAGAGTTTAATACTAATTTAAGTAACACTTACAGGTCTTTTCCCTCCAACAGTCTTTGACTGGACAGTGAAGGGAGACGCAGACTCATCTGTCTGTCACTTTGATCTATCCTATCAGCATGGTCCTTGTTAGCTCCTTGTGCTGCTCTTCCGTCTCCCAGTCTGAGGTCTGCTGTACAGGGACTTGTTATATTGGAGAATGCTGAATGCTCAGACCAGTGTCAAGATTTTCAAACACCCTTTTGCACACAGAGCCTCTGCATGTAAAGTCTGATGGTCCATGCATGGCGTGATACAACAGGTTCCTTGGACCATTGGACCATATAAGGGTTCCCATTAGAGTTATAATTAAAGGAGAACTATGAGGCGAGTTTTTTTCACTCAACCTCATAGTTCGAGCCGACGTGTGACAATGAAACTGTCACACGTCGGCTCAATAGATCGGGAAGTGAGTGAATACATACCGTCGCTCGCTCACTTCTTGATCATGTCCCTGCAGAGACCCGTGACTGTCAGTCACGGCTCCCTGCAGGGATTCCCCCCTCCCCTTCCCCCCCTCCCCGCTCCGATCCTCCAGCGCTGACCGGCAGAACGGACGGGGAGGGGGCAGGTACAGCTGGGTCTGCCTCTACATAGGCAGAGTCAGCTGTCAATCACGCAGCTGGATGGATCTCGACAGTAATGTCGGGATCCGTCCCGGCTGCGGCGGTCTCAGTATACCGCGAGCTGTAGCTCAAAATATACTGGGCTTTGGTTCACAGGAGGACGCTAGTTTATGTCCTCCCGTGACCATTAGGAGAACTATGTGGAAAAACACTTACCCCATAGTTCTCCTTTAAAGAGTAGCTATGGTGGATTATGCAGACATCCCAACCTGCAAAACCTTATTTCAGGGAGGTTCCCATCTCATTTCAGGGAGGTGCCCTTTCTGTTTTTTGGGTTGGTTTTTTTACAGCGGCTGTCGTCAGAATATAAAAGAAATAATAATGATT